TTCCCCCAAAGAACCTTCCACAGACCTTTGGAATCTTTCATTTAAATCACAGTGTAAGTGTGAGGGCGTGGTCTAAAGCCACGAAGCAGGGACTCAAGGCTTCTGCAGGAATCATTTTTCGGAACAGTTGCTAGGTTTACTTTTGGGTAAGTCCAGTAGCCTTGCCCGTGGGATACAGGAAACTCTTGACACGGTCTAACAACCCCGGAAACTCTCGGCATCCAAGTAGTAAATAAGCTCTGTTGTGATTTAAGGAAAAACCCTACCCTTGCTATTTACCCTTCACACTGAAACAGGAAATGATACTGTGGGGATACTGAAGCACTCTGCTGAACAGACCATCAGCGAAGGCAAGATTGCCTCTTCCGAGGCTGCTCTGTCCTCTAAGATTGGAGTTTGGGGAGGATGCATTGGGAAATGATTTTTTTCCCCATAATGACAACGTTCAGTACCACCTAAGAAATGAAATTGAAGCATTGATCTTACTCTTCAAATACAGGATAGCTTCAATATTAAAATTAACATATAAATTCAGCATCCATCTTCTTTTCGACTCACTTCTGCTGAGTAAATGCACATATAAAGAATGAATCACTGAAACAATATGCAGTGAAATCAAGTTCATTTTTCAAATATGTCAGTTCAAATGCAGTCAGCGCCTGTTTTCTGGGCACCCAACAAATGTTCCCAAGACACCCCCCGCTCCCAGCACCTCGCGCCCGTCTAAGCCACAGGGCAACCTGGGGACCTTGGCAGATGAGTCCCTGAAGAGCAAGCTCCATAATATGTGATTGCCACGCTGTATACCCCTTCCTCTGCTCCGAGTTCTTTTTATAAGTTGTAAATGTTCCAGGCTCTTCCAAGCCTGCCAATTAACCATAAGAGCCTGGACCACAGGTCCAGAATCACAGTCCCTTTTCCCTGGCACCTGTTGCCTCTCCAGGTCGCTCTACTGTTAGTTTCAACCACAGCTGTGTACCTGGCCAACAAACGCCTTGCTTCTCAACCTTGTGTGAAACTAGTTTTGTTTTTCCCATCATCAAGAGTGTCAATATTTCACAATGAGATATCACCTCATACCTGTCGGAATGGCTATTATCAAAAAGACAAGCGAGGGGGCTGGCCTGGTGGCACAGCGGTTAAGTGCGCACGTTCTGCTTCAGTGGCCTGGAGTTCGCCGGTTCGGATCCCGGGTGCAGACATGGCATCGCTTAGCACATCATGCTGTGGTAGGCGTCCCACATATAAAGTAGAGGAAGATGGGCATGGATGTTACCTCAGGGCCAGTCTTCCTCAGCAAAAAGAGGAAGATTGGCAGCAGTTAGCTCAGGGCTAATCTTCCTCAAAAAAAAAAAAAAAAATGACAAGAGATAACAAGTGCTGGCAAGGATGTGGAGAGAAAGGACCCCTGGTGCACTTTTGGTGAGAATGTAAACTGGTGCAGCCACTTTGGAAAACAGTGTGGAGGCTCCTCAAGAAATTAAAAATAGAACTATCATGTGATCAAGCAATCCCACTCTTGGGTATTTATCCAAAAATAAAATAAAATTACTATCTCAAAGAGATATCTGAATCCCCATGTTCATTGCAGCGTAATTCACAGTAGCCAAGACATGGAAACAACTAAGTGTCCATTGATGGATGAATAGATAAAGAAAACGTTACATACTAGTGAAGTAAGCCAGTCACAAAAAGACAAATACTATATGATGTCACTTACACGTGGACTCTAAAACAGCCAAACTCATAAAAACAATAACTAGAATGGTGGTTTCCAGGGGTTGGGGGAGGGGGTGGGGAGATATTTGTCAAAGGGAACAAACTTTCAGTTATAAGATGTGTAAGTTCTTGGATCTAATATACACATGGTGACTCTAGTTAACAATACTGTGTTGTACACTTGAAAGCTGCTAAGGGAGAGGATCTTAAATGTTCTCACCACACACACACACACAAAAGGTAATTATGTGAGGTGATGGGTGTAACTGACCTTATGGTGGTCATAATTTCACAATATATATGTATACAAATTATCACACTGTGCACCTTAAATTTGCACAATGTTATATGTCAATTATATCTCAATAAAGCTGAGGGGGAAAAAAGATTGTTGAGATTTCTTAAAACTCCAAGTTCCTGGGAAAAACCTATTTCCAGGTGTCTCTAGTAACCTGGGGATCCTGCAAGAAGTGAAGGATCAGCAGCACTAAAAAACCTGAGGACCTTTAGGTGCACTCCCCTTACAGGAAAGGGTGGCACATGTATGCTAATATCTGGTCCTTTCTCAACCAGAAGTTTCCAGAAACAGGCATTTCTGATCCCAAATGTGTCCTCAATCTAGTCACTAACATTGATGCCGAAGTTATTTGAACTAGAGCTAGGGCGTGCACTAAGACTGCTTGCATGTTGAATTTTACTCTTGCCACAGAAAAGTAGACGCCAGTGGAGGGAGAATTTAGAAATCTCCAGCCTTAGAGTTTTTATCCCTCAGCTCTTTTACTTGGCATACATCTAAGAAGAAAACCTGAGGATGTGATGCAGAGTGAGGTACTTCTCAAATCTGAGTGAGTTTAAGAATGACCTGGAGAGGATGGTAAAAATGCAGGTGCTCAGGCTACGAGGGATTCTGAACTTGACCAAAATTAAGCACTGGGGGGCCTGGACCACACTTAGAGACAAACTGCTGTAGAACAACATGACTAACCCACCCTCACTCACATCTTAGATGAATGAAGCATTTCCTCCAAGACTAGCAGTGGGCAGGGCCTCACTACAAGGGGAGACACGCACTGTGGTGTAATGCGAATTAACTTTCTACCAGGCTGGCTTGACTCAACTGCAGTTATACAGCTGAGCATCCAGATATGTTGTCTGTGTGACAGCTGAGATTTAACTAGAAGGAGCCATTTTGTTTTTCTCTTTTCATCCAGATGTTGAGTTTTATGTGAAAGAGTAACCAAGCAGCCATGGGCAGATGAGTGTTCATTTCCCTTGAACTCTACAAGCCATAGTAGGATGGTCTTCAAGAGGTGAGCCAGAATCTTAGAGGTTTTGTCACTTTAACTGAGGGGGCTCAGTGGGCAGGACTGCAGAGGAAGCAAAATTGACAGCTGGAAGCGGGACACAGGATCTCGACAACCAATTTCTCCCTTCTAACCCGACCACCAGCATCCCACCTAAGACGACGTTTTTTGCTGCAGAAGATGATATTGCGAATCAAACATACCTGCACTAGCCCATGAATAAGCTGTCTTACAGATAATTCCATTTTTCTGGCCACTGTAAAAAGAACTCAACGACTCTGATGATCTGTGGGCGAAATCAAGCTGTAAGGACACTGTATCTTAAGCCGAGTTTTGCTCCTTCGGGTCACTCAACCCGAAGAAGTAACAGCTGAAGACAGAGTTTGGAGGCCAACCCAGTGGTGCAGCGGTTAAGTTCGTGCACTGCACTTTGGAGGCCCCGGGGCTCGCAGGTTTGGATCCTGGGTGCGGACCTAGTACCGCTCAGTCAAGCCACGCTTGGCATCCCACATAACAGAGGAAGATTGGCACAGATGTTAGCTCAGTGACAACCTTCCTCCAGCAAAAAGAGGAAGATTGGCAACAGATGTTAGCTTAGGGCCAATCTTCCCCACACACACACACAAAAAGACAGACTTTGTAGCACCATTGGCTCACATAGGACTTGTTATCAGTGTTGTTTGTTAAATAACATAGGTAAACTTTTGAGATATGATATCTTTGAAAATACATTTGTCATAGGTAGGGCCAGACATTAGCCCATCACTACCACAAAAAAGTCCTGGACATGTGTCTTTAGAATCAGAGGTCAAATTAGTCTCTTCTCCCCTCCCTCCCTTTCTTCTTTTACGTAAAATCTAATGTTGAAATATAATCCTAACAAACTGTGTTTACCTTTAAACACTCTGATATGTAACTATGTCAATTAAATACACAGTAGTCCAACTAAAATAAGGAATTCTTTTCCCTCAAAGATTTCTCATTCCAAAAGTATCTATAGAAATAAAAATGAGATGGTTCTTTTGTTTTAAAGATCTCTTTTTCTCCTGGGACCCATTGAAGGGTGGGGGCGGCAACTGATGTCAGCGCCTGTCCCCAGCTGAAGGAGCATCTCAGGCCAAGATGATCAGCCCTTCTCCCTCCCAGACAGAAGGGCCTTTCAAGACTCATCCTTGCCCTGCATCCTTGTCATGCAGAGGCTTTTATTTATTTGCTTATTTACTGTCCCTCCCACATTCCGACCTAAGCAGTCTGACTCAGCAGTCATCTTTCCTTTCAAACACTTTGAAGAACGGAAACAGTAAGAGAAGTGGTTGGTGTGGGCGCCATTGATTATAGTTTGAAAACGCACTTTTAAAAATATCTGAGCCACCAGTTTGCCATATACAGCACCTCCAAAAACGCTTCTAAAATGAAGGGAAAAAGCCCTGGTTTTCAAGGTTTTGGTGTGGTCATCCCTCAAACTGCAAAGGCATCTTCTCCAAGTGAGAATGCGGGAATTCACTTCCACATCCTGAATGCACAGCTACTCAACTTAATAACAGGAGTGACAGCTCTCATTGACTGAGTGCTTTCTCTGTGTCAGGTACCACGTTACTTCCTCCCCTCGCTATAAGTGTTTCCTTTTTACTTTGTCTTTGATGGGATTCTCCAGTCCACTCACTGCTTATCCTGGACTCACAGGCCAGTAACTTGGACAATAATGCACAAATGGCATTCTCTTATACACAGTAGGCATTCAGTAAGTATCTGATGAAGAAATGAAGGAATGGATGGAGGGATTGAGTTAACTCTATTCTTGAACAATAAATTCTCCTTCTGAATGCAGCCCCAGAACTTTCCCACTCACATTTCCCAATGAATGTCTCATTTAACTCAGACCTCGATTTCTGGCCCGTGCACTACTAAGTAGCTTTTATGTCAACTTTCTATTTTTAGAGATCCTCTATCCACAAGTAGAAATGACATAAACCAAGATCATCTCCTTAGTTTATTTTTTTCTAGAGTCCTTAGCATGCTACATTAACCTGACAAAGCTTAATCTTGTGTTCATTTCACAATACATTTCATGCAGTTCACAGCTGTGATTGGTTTTACATTGACATTACACATGTTTCGATTCGGTCATGTGAAAAGAATAATTCTTAATGGAATTTGTCTCTGAAAACTGTCCAAGCTTAAATAAGCATGTGAGCAGTTCACTCTATTCTTAAGTGCAGTCTCTCTTTTAAATGCAAGGTTTTTAGCCTAAGAATATAATGTCCCTGTTTCTGGTCCATTTGCAACCAAACCACTTCCTTTAGGTTTCAAATATCCTGAGGAATCCTTTTTTACAAAACTGCATTCAAGTATACTATTTTATTGAACATTCCAGGTTGAGTTTAGGAGCAAGGCTGACCTTCAGCTTTCCATCCCCAAATAAATCTTCCGTGGACCCAGCTTTCCCAAGACTATTCTTAGCATTAGACTCTCTTTTACAATAAACATTCAGCACTAAAGCCGCAGAGCAGAGCTATTTGGCATTTTCCAGTGAAGTGCAAGAAATTAAATAAGTTATGTTTTTATTGCTAAGGTATAGAATCAAGCACAGTCACTTTGTCAAACAGAAGGAAAGGGTATACACAGGACGAGGCCTCTCCTGGGGAGGGCAGGGGGTCAGAGTTCAAATGCACAGAAAATGTCACCTGGTCACCAGCCACCCGGTACCACTTTAAGATGATGTGTTGAGTATTCTAGAGTCTGAGGAGTCGGACCTCTCGTCATAGTCATCCTCGGTGTAAAGAGACTGCTTTGACACAATCGGACACCCATCGTCAGGGATGGAGATCCGAGGGTCTTCGGGGGCGCGCGTGGGAAGGACAGGCGAGCTTCTGAAGACGCTGGGCGAGCTCCCGGGGAAAGGGCTGACGTACTGGGACCTCAGCTGGTACTGCTGCTGCAGCGTCATGGTGTTCCACAGGGTGACATCATTGGGCAGGAAGGGGCTCGACTGGTTTCTTGCCAAAGTATTCCTCAGCATCAGAGGGTACCGGGGCGGCTGGGGGAAAGGATGCTGCAGGGGCACGGCCAAGGGGTTGGGGACAACGTTACTAGAGTCTGCGGAAAACCTCAACGTGTCTGGGACCCTGAAGGCCGATCCCACGGACCATTTGGAAGAGGAGATGGGGTATGAGCTCAAGGTGTGTTCAAAGATGTGCCCGTTGGAGGGCAACACGAGGCTCTCGGGCTCTGCCGAAGTTCGGTCGGCGGCCGAGGCCGAGGAGCGGCTGGAGAGGAGGACCTCCACGGCGCTCACCAGGTCGCCCCCACAGCCCTTCAGGATGAGCTCCAGCACCGTGGGCTTCTGGTTGGGGAAGATTTTTTTTAACACTTCCAGGGGCGGTCTGTTGGCTTTCAAGCTGAAGGGCAGAGAAACGGTCCCCGAGGGGCCCTCGATCAGGAGGTGATTCTGTTCCCCGTGGTACTTGGGACTGTCGGGGCGGCTCTCGGAGGTGCCTCCGTTCTTCTGGACCGCATACCCGCCTTCATCCACAGACACGACCTCGGGGCTCTCCGGGGTGAAGCAGCCCTTACTTTTCACCACATCTGGGGAGCTCCTCTGGTCGGTGTCTTTGTCGCTGAAGGTCTCTGTGTTGTCTGCGGAGCTGCCGTCCCCAAGTCGCTCCTCAGTCAAATCTGGAAAGCAGAGAACAGCTGGGTTAATCCTTTCCTGGTGTGCATAAAAGGGAACAGATGTGCTCAGGAGAGCCCCACACAGGCTTCTTGGAAGGAGAAATGCATCTCAGTGGGTTATAACATAGTGCAAGCCTTAAAAAAAAAAAAAATCCAAACTATGTCACTGGCAAATGGCAAAGAAAAAGACCCTGTAAATAAAGATCTAGGGGTCAGCCTGGTTGCCCAGCGGTTAAGTGCGCATGCACATTCTGCTTCGGCAGCCCAGGGTTCACCTGTTCGGTGCTGACACAGCACCGCTTGGCAAGCCATGCTGGGGCAGGCATCCCACATATAAAGTAGAGGAAGATGGGCACAGATGCTAGCTCAGGGCCAGTCTTCCTCAGCAAAAAGAGGAGGATTGGCAGCAGATGTTAGCTCAGAGCTAATCTTCCTCTAAAAAAAGAAAAGAAAAGAAAAAGATCTGGAAATCAGAGTGATTTCTCAGAAGGATGTGTGCAAGGAAACTTGCCTTCAACACAGAACAGCGACGTGATACCTCTAACCATACAAGATGTGACTGTGTGGCAGTGACAATTTCTAAATAGGAACCCTCTGTGGGGCTGCGGATAAACAGGCCCAGGGAAGGATAGGGAAATGAGCTCAGGCTTGTCTTTTGGCTCCTCTTCTCCAAATGAGGCAGCGGCTGTAATCCAAGGACAGCATTGGCTGATGCATGACACATAGGCCCACAGGGGCTTCTAATATTCTAAATCCACTTTCTCACAGGCTGATTTTGTGTTTAATATGTCTTGTGAACTAGTACTCAGTATGTGTCATCAGGTTACCATGTACAAGAACTAGTCAATATAATTGCCAGAGTGCAAGAAAGAAGCCTCTAGTGGTTGAAATCTGTCTTAAAAAGCCACTTGAGGGACTGACTGTGGGTTGCCTGTAACTTGCACGAGAGGCCAAGCAAAACCAGCTCTGAGTTCTGGACAGGCTGCAGGAGAGAAAGAAGGAAATGGCTGGAGAAGGCCTTTGAAAAAGTGCACAGGGAGCGTGACCCATCCATGAAACAATGCGTCCGGAACTCCAGGACAATGGGGTGCAAGAGGTGGGTGTGTTTTCATGAACAGTTTTATTAGTAAAGTTCAGGGAAAGGACTTAAGGATACCTTCTTGAATTACATTGAGAGGAAAAAAAAAGCTTCCCAAATAAAGCAGAGATTTGCCATGAAGTAAACCAGTTGCAAATTTAACATTTTGACCTAAGACATTATCTCCAAAGGGGTATTACGGTGCTAAAGCAGGCAGAAACCAGTAGATAAGACTGTTTTGCTTGCAGAAGAAAGCTCTAAAAGACCTTTATAATAAAGGAACATATTCTTTATTAACAAGCTATATGCAATCGGATTTTTATCCTTTCTAAAACAAGTACTATCTGTGTCTACTCAAAGCCAATGTAACTGATCTAAAGATGAAAATTATTCATGACCCAGTGGTCCAGTTGTAAACAACCTGTTGGCCTGTGTTTTCAGCGGCCCTGCCTGAATCGCCTCATTGTCTCCTTCTCTGTGGGCACACCTGATTATGTGTAGATAGCCAGCCGCTGAAATTTCAGCAAAGCAGCTTCTAAAAACCCATCTCCTCCCATTTGTTGTTGTTGATTTTAAAAGCCTGAAACAACGGCCCATTTATGAACATTTTTCTAATACGGGATATATCTCAACTATGATTGAAAAACAAAACTTTGGTTCTTCATGAAGCAATAAATATGTGCCAAGTGTAAATAAATACTCTGAAAAATATTCTTAAACTATATCAGTGCAAGTTTCAATCATAAATCTGATACGAATTCACACTTATCTCAAATTTCCATTTTAAGTAAACTGCTTCTTTTTCCAATGCAAAATACAAGGTTTCCACGTGGGGATCGTTTGCGGCCCACTCATATCAAGCCATCTTTGCTTTCTTTAACAGCTCTGAGATGCGCAAAAGACCTGTTTTGCAAAAGAAATTTGACGTATTCTCTCCTGCAACTTTCTAGGACGGGACCCAGCTTTCATCTCTTGAGTTAATGTGGTACTTGTCCTTACTCCCAAAGAGAAAAACAGCAACAAAAAGGTTTCTACAGATTCGCATTCTAATCAGGTAGACCTATCTAAATTTTTCTGACTCGTGACCCCATGCATATGTCTTGGCTGTTACTCTATTATTAAACACTCGAAAAGGAGTGGACAGTGACAGTGTATTAGCTTGGCAGTGAACTGAACACACAGCTGGATTCTGGCCTCTGCTCAACAGAGCTTGGGAAAACAAGTCAAATACTCTCCCCAGGTAAATATGGACATAAAATAATGTTTTAAATACTATGCATCTCTAAACAGTCTTATTTAATTTTGGCTTTCATTATCTATTATTATCAGTATCGAGTATTTGTATCCTTATGATATGCAAGATACAGAGGGAAAGAGAAAAAAGGGCAGAAAAATACCAGGAAGTATAAGACCTGCCCCTAACTTGTGGAACTTCTTAGTGAATTGGTGAGATAAGACGCATGTGCAGGGGGAAAAGCAAACCCAGGCAGGCAGAATTTGCTAAGCATCAAATATAACACACATTGTACATGAATGTTCATAGTAGCATTGTCCACTATAGCCAAAAGGGGGAAGCAACCCAAGTGTCCGCCAGTGAATAAACGGACAGACGAAATGGGGTCTGTACATACAATGCGATATTTATTGTTCAGTCTCAAAAAGGAATAAAATTCTGACACATGCTACAATATGGATGCACCTTGAAAACACACTAAGTGAAATAAGCCAGTCACAAAAGGACAAATACTCTATGATTCCACTTATATGAAGTGCCTAGAACAGAAAAATTCAGAGTCAGAAAGTAGAATGGGGGGCTGAGGAAGCAGGAACGGGGCCTTACTGTTTAATGGGTACAGGGTTCCAGTCTGGGGTGATGAAAAAGTTCTGGAAATGGACAGTGGTGATGGTTGCACAACATCGTGAATGTACTTAATGCCACCACACTGTACCCCTAAAAATGGTTAAAATAGTCAATTTTATGTTATGTATGTTTTACCACAATAAAAAGAAAAGAGAAATATGACACACAGTAACACAGGAGATGGTGAGATTTCCTTAAGCAGGAGAAACAACTGGTTCTTCTAAGGAAATAAAAGGTACATAAGTACAGCTAAAAAGCTCAAAACTTACCTATTTTTAAAAGAGACATGTGAACCTAAAAACAGCATCCCATTTTAAAAGGCAAACGTTTCCCCACCCTGGATGAGTTTCACATTTGAGGAAAATGTTTTGAGGTCTATCAACCAAATTCACTCGTCCACAGAACGCTACAGGCTCCAGAGGAAAGTGATTCAGAGAGAAGTTCAGTCGCAGGGGAACTAGGGAACGATATTCTGGCTAATCTGACATATCTACCATGACGACAATGTAGTATTTTTTTTCAAGATGGTAAAGGACACACTGTCCCAATCAACTGGATTTAGGATGGCAGGATTATAAATCTGACAACACGAAATTCCACTTTTGAACCAATTTTCCTGTTTTGCACAACAGGCCACAGTGGAATCTTACATGGATGCGCACTTGTTCGTCAATTGTGAACCCCAGACTGCAAAAGCCTGTCTCTTATTTCCTTGTGCTACCCCTTGCCCCTGCTACTGTGAAATGAACAGTGCAGCATGCGCTTCTGGGTACTTCTCAGGGAGCAGGGGGTGGATGGTGCTGATTCATCCAGACTCTCTCCATAGGTTCTGGGCTGATCAGCCTCTCCCAATGGAAGTCCAGATCATGTCAAAAAGTGAGAAAAGGTAGCAAGATGTCACAGGAATCAAATCTACAAATTCAGAACATCAGAGTTCAGCACTGTTTACACTGAGCTCAAAGGGAAGATAGAAGACGTCTAAAGAAGCAATGAGTGAGACACACCTATAGTGTCGTACACCTGAGCGGCACATAAAGTCTTGCTAAGGGGGGGTTGGGTGAGCAGAACCCCAATCCACACCCGAGGCTATTGGGTTTCAAAACTGGGAAGGGAGGACTAGCCTCTCACCTTGACCAAGAAAACTTCTTGGCCAACAGCAATTTCTGAAGGGCAGAATATACAGTCCCTGGAGTTTTGTGTCTAGTATTGGTTGTAATGTTGTACCCAAACGAGATGTACTGTAAATTATTCTACTATAAATACAGACTTTCACAAGTAATTATAGAGGGTGAGTTCTGAGCCCAGTGATAAAGCGTAATTTAATAACAGGTGTTTCTTTACATCTCTAAATTTTTTCCTAAATGAACTTTATAAATTGTTCGTGTTGGTTTAAAATACAAAGGCCTTTCTAGATATAGAAATGTGAAACTGCCAACTAACAAAATGAAAAAGGAAATACTCACCCAACACTTTACCCTCTTTCTTCTTGAAACTGACACCCTAATTCCTTGAACATATAAGTAAGAGTATATTTTAACTGATAATATTTTTACCCCTAATATACAGGTGCAGAAAGCAAAAACTACTAGATAAAAAGTAGAAAGAAATCAATTTCATCTGATATTACAAACCACCTTTGAAAGTGATACAATCTGCTGTTTCTAATGCTTATCACCTGGATATTTTGAAAATCTTACTAAATGTTCACTCTTCAATTTCATATTTTTCATGATGTAGAAACACTCAGAGCCACTCATGAAATAAACTCTTCGCTGGGTAAAAGGAGTAGATACTCAATTAAGATGGAATATTTTTCTATGAGTAATAATACTACCAACTTCAAAATATGTATATGCCATAAGAAAGCTACAAGATTTTAACTAAGGAGAGAAAATGAACACACACAAAAGTGACTTCCAATCTAAAATTATAGTTTGCAAAATCTAACTTTCTTTAGAGAATTTTTTCATATGAAAATGCAGTTAAATTAAAAATTGCAGGTATTCATTTCAGATATTTAAAAAGACTACCACATACGTGAAACAAACATTCTGCTCAAGACAT